CACTCGCTGAAATCATCAATAAGTTTGATTCCTCATTTGGCGCAATCATTTGTTACCTCTAATTGCTTAACAAAATTTTCTGCAGTTCAATAATCTTGGAAGAATTTTCACTCTTGTGGATTCATCTGGAGCCATTCCTGGTTGTTTATTTGTCCTAATAAATCAAAAAGAAGCCTCGACCGTGGTCCAATTAAAAAATAAATAAAGGTTGAAAAATTTAATGTCAGAAACTTTGGTTTCGCAATTAAAAAAGTTTTTGGTCTTGAGGTAGAAAAAAGTTTCTTTCCCATTATTGTTCTGGTAAATTCTGACAATTTTTCATTAGATAAAGATAAAATAACAAGCTCTTCTGTTAAATACCAAAGGTATTTAACAGAATATTTATTATATGTTTATAGAAAGTGACATAAATCTCGAATTGTGAATTGCACCTGATTTTTGAATTTTAAATGTTCTGTCCAGTGATAGTTTTCCCCCAAGGTAGATAACAGTTAAATCAATTAAATCAAGATAATCTTCTCGCGGAAATATTTTCTTATCGAGGCATTGGTAAGCCCATTTCAGAACTAAACTTGCTTGATTAAATATTTCTGATATAATATTAGCAGGCCATTCAAAAAAATTAAAGTTTGAGTAATCAATATCAATTCTAGAAAATTCGGCTTGGAAACGTTTAAAAGTAGGTTCATCTGGACTTTTGCTCCCTCCTCGTAATGCGGTAAATGCATGTTTGATGTGTAGCTCATTATGATGATGGCGACATAGTAGCCATAGGAGAAGTCTCTTTAACTCAATTTCAATTAAAGTCGCTGTTCCTTTTTTATTACCTGTGTTTCTTGCTGTTGTATCAAAGCATATACCAACAATGTTTTCCAAAATGTTCCAATCTTGCGCAAGTTTCACAGCCACGTCTCATTGAGTTTTATCTGTCGAATCTTTATTCAAAGGTAAGCCTATAAGTTTCGGCCTGCAAATAAACGTTAAGTTAGTTTCTTTGAATACAAAAATAAAAAATATACATAGGATTTATATAAATAAATAAGTACCCGTTAAAAGATCCGCTAATAAGAGTTTCTACACATTCTTCATTATTTGCTGTCTAAATGAAAAAGCTTCGAATCCCAGGTTTGTTTATCTCCCAGTCAGCTTTAATTGAGAGAACATTATTCGCCCGCGCATTTTGTCTTTGACAATACACAGTTGATACTGACATAGAAATTTCATCAAGTTTGTCTCCGCTTTTGCAGATAATAGTTGATTGAAATAGAAGTTGCTGGCGAACTGATAAACAACATCGATCTGCTACAGACGCCGCGCTATGAGTCCAAACGGCAAAAATGTGGCCAAAAGTCGATTTTCAAAAGTATTTCAAAATAATTATTGTTTTGTTGATGTAAGGACATATATCTATTTATTAACAGGAAAATATCTTTTGCATAAACTTTATTACGTGTTTTATGAGTTTAACGAATACCTTTTCTCGCCTAATAAACAAACTATATTTTTGAGAATAATAAACGAAATTTTTATTTTGTTTTTAAGTTCATTAATTTCTACATCATTATAAAAGATCCTTACATATCAATATTAATGCAGCCCCGGTCACAAACCCGGCCCCGGCCCTGGCTATTTTTTTATCAAACACGGCCCCGGTCAAATATCAACCCTGGTCGCTAACTATATATATATATATATATATATATATATATATATATATATATATATATATATATATATATATATATATATATATATATATATATATATATATATAAACCAATAAGAATAACTACTAAAATAGCTTATTATTTATAGAATATTTATTGTTCAACAAGCAAAAGCTTTAAGACTTCAGAATCTAACCCTAGTAGCAAACAATATTGGCGCAATATTGGGGCGACATTGTTTACAATATTGGCGCAATATTGTAAACTATATCGGGCCAATGTTGCAGTGTGAACATTTTGCCAATATTGGCCAATATTGGCGCTACAATATTGCGCCAATATTATTAAGTCAATAATGGCCAATATTGGCAATACAATATTGCCCCAATACTGTAAAGTCAATATTAGCCAACATTGGCAAAATGTTCACACTGCAACATTGGCCCGATATAGTTTATAATATTGCGCCAATATTTTAAATAATATCGCGCCAATAATGGGGATATTATACTGGCCAATATTGGCCTAATATAGTTTACAATATTATCCTGATATATATAATATATATAACTAAAATAAGGCAATATATTGAGTATTTTCGAATAAATTTTTATTATTAAAAAAAAATAAAAATATTGCCTTCTACAAATTTGTAAAAATTAAAATTACTAACAGTTTTCTTGTTAAGTGATACTATAGTACTAGGCTGCATTATTCTTTTGAGTTAAATAGGTTATAGTCTAGGAGATGACAATAATCATAGAACACGCTTTAAGAAAAAAAAAATTGAAATCATTAATTTTATTTGAAGTTATATGAAACAGATACAAATAAAAAAAAGAGGTATAGAGTTTTCCAAAACCAAAATATAACAAAATAAAATCAATGTTATTTAAATACACGTATAATATATATATATATATATATATATATATATATATATATATATATATATATATATATATATATATATATATACATATATATATATATATATATATATATATATATATATATATATATATATATATATATATATATATATATAAATCTGAAAGTCGATGCCCACTATCTCATAGTGAGAGTATAATACAGTTCTTTATATATATATATATATATATATATATATATATATATATATATATATATATATATAATTATATATATATATAATTATATATATATACAAATATATATATATATATATATATATATATATATATATATATATATATATATATATATATATATATATATATATATATATATATATATATATATATATATGTATATATATATATATATATATATATATATAAAGAACTGTATTATACTCTCACTATGAGATAGTGGGCATCGACTTTCATTATTTTGGCGATACTTATTTCATTGCTCAATATTGGGCGTTGCTCAGTTACGGTTCTATTTTTTTTCCGTAATCTCTATTAATGGCCGTCGCCAGAAAGCTGCCAATTTTTTCTTTAATACTTTTGTCAGTAACGATTTCGAAATGAACGAATACAACGATAAACGACTAAACGCAACTCTACAAAATGTTTTTTAAATATCATCACAATATAATTTTGAAATATATAACTTTTCACGTATAAATATTGTAAAGTAAATAGCTTTATTAAAATATTTATTTATTAAAAGGAAATGGGATGTAGAATACAAATATTGTGCTTTACCTATAACGACCTTGCAGAACGTTTTGTTTCATTGCATACACTGAGTATGAAAAACATATTTCTTTGGCCATTAGCTCTATTAAGATTGCCGCTGTAAGTTGTTTCTCATCTTCTCCAACCGAAGTAAGAAAGTTCATCTAAAATAAGAAAAGAAATGTAATATAATTGGTTGTACTAAATGTATAATGGTTCCTCATGTGTATGTATTAGACGGTTTTCCATAATGTGATTCTTATTAAAATATGACATTATGGAAGAGTAAAAGCAATTGGTTATAAATAGATTATGACATCTGTAGCGGTGAATACACCCTACAGATGTCATAGATATCTGAGATTAGTAGTCATTGCTACACAAAATACAATGCTAACTGGGCATAAAAGATAAAAATCACAATAAAATGTAATAAGCATTTATATAAAACATTTTGAATTACAACATAATTATAGTCAATCACGTATCATATTGGATCATTTGTTTGTATGTTTCATATAAATGTATCATATATTTTAAAAATTAGAAACTTTAATAGTACATGGTACTGTTTACAAAAACTATTAACTAATATCAATTCACTGATATATACTATTGATTCATAAGGTGTCTTTGTTCCATAATTTTTCTTCTAGGTTTAGAAGATCTTTTTTCATCTATAATCGGCAAATAAATTCAATAAATCGAAAGAGATAGTCAAGCAAAGCTCTGATCGAATCACTTAACCCTAAAACACTAAAGATTTCTTTAATCTTTGAGAAACTGAGAGGCAATCTCATTAGTGTCACTTTTTTGTAACCTGCATCTTTTTAAGCTGGAGGCACAGATAATTCCGTTCTAAAGCAGTCTCATAACTGTCAAAAAAAAGTATAAAGAAGAGATGAAACCATAATAAACAATCAACATTTACTATATTTGAGTCAAACATATCTGTTTAGATAAAAAACAAAAACAATACTGTAAATAAAACAAAAACAATATTGTAAATAAGACAATTACCAAAAAATTCTTATTTTCAGCTGCTTTCAGTTACTTTTAATAGCGTGACTTTACGTATGGCAGTTTAATAGCAAGATGCTTGCAAGTGATTTGGCCAATACACCAAACTTTCATAGATACCCCATGAAAAATAGATTACATTTATGGCACACATTGTTTTTTCATTGAAAAATTCAGCCAGAGCAAATTTTGTAAACTTTATTACCACCTTCAGTTTAACGGTACATCAGCTAAAAAATAATTACAAATAAATTTATGATATAAAAAAACTTCAAATTAACTTTCTTTTTTGAGATTTTTTTTTTTTGTTTAACTAAAAATATTAGTTTAAAAATTATTGAGATTCATTTCTTAATGTTTAATGTAATCGCTTTTTATTGCAAGTAGAGTTTAATTATTGGTTAGTAAAAAACAGTGATTTTAAAGTTTGCGCAGTTTAGAAAGGTTTCTATGATAATATTTTCTTATTTAAATATGACATTAAGGCAGATAAACAATTTGAGGCTCTAAGTAAATATTTACCATTTTGCAATTGTACATTTAATGAACCCAAGATGCATCTAGATGTTTTTTTAATGTCGTGACAGATGTTGAACACTATTTCAGATGGTAGACTATTCTACAAATTTGTGAATTCCATATTTGAAAAGTTTTTTCAGGACATTTGTCTTACAAAACATTTTTTTCAATTTAAAAGCATGATCACATGTTGTTAAGTTGGAGTTGAATAAATACTAACTAAATATATAATCATATATTAATATTAAGAAGTCGCCATATTAACACGCATGCTATTACAACTCAGATTAACTACTTAATGGTCTGTAATTACAATAATAAATATAATGGCTGAGCAGATGACATTCTTCTGACACAGGTGTTGATAGATAAAGTACTGAATGGTGTTTTATGAGGATAAAAAAGGGTTGCAACTACAATTATAAAGATTGTGAATGCATTTGTAAGTTTCTGCCATGTCATTGCATAAGAAACGATAGCATATGCTAGTTAAATTTAGTCTCAGTAGTCTTTGGTTGTAAGTGAGTTCAGTCTGGCCAAAAACAAATTTACTAGACTAGGATAAAACATTTTAAATTAATTGTTAATCTTTTTAAAGTCTAGGATAGTAGACAGAGCTGCAAGAATCAAGGTGAGGACGAACAAGGAAAATAAATAAAGTACGAAATGTCAAGATATTGAGATTGACAAATGATCTTTTGATCATTCCTACAATTTTATTGGCGGTGTTATTCTTAGTACTTACAAAATAAAAGTCAAATTACTGTCAATGAAGATCCCTTTTATTTTTTTTTAGAGTTTTTATTATTTTCTTTAGAGTTTTTAATATTAATTGAAGTATTGAGATTTTTATCAACGAGTATATAAATGAATTTTGTATTTGATGGTCCTAAGGGCATTGTTTGTCCTAAGGGAAAATTTTGTATTTGTTGGTCCTAAGGGTATAACTTTACATTTTTTTACATTAAAACTTAGTTTTCATAGTTTTGCCCAGTTGGCTATAATGTCCATACTTTATAGCAGGTTATTGCATGGTGAGCTATCAAAATCAAACTGTATAACTTAGTATCATCTGTAAATACAGATACATCTAAAACCAAATCAGAAAAAACTTTATTACATATCATAAAAGTAAATAATGAGGGACCTCACTATTTACTATTATCCATTCTGAGTATGTACCACTTACAATGATACTCTAATGCCGATCTCTTAGGTAACATTAAAATCCAATTGAAGAGTTAGTCATTTACTCTATAAGCTTTTAATTTTAGAAGTAGGATTTGTGAAATGTGTTGAAAGATTTCAATATATCTAGTATAAATTTTCTATATCAGTTTTATTCTCCAAGGCTAATGTCCAACATCAATCCTCACTAAAATTTATTGCACTTTCAAAGTCGCATTAATATAATTTTTACTATTTTCAGTATTACTTATTGTGTGAATTTTACTTTAATCTTGTTTAACTACTCTAAACATAACGTGATGTAGCAGATCTAGTTTAACTTATTGATTTGTTTTTTACCTATAGCATTGCATTAAACTATTGCATAAAATAAAATGCTATATAAAATAAGAGACATTATGAAAAAAACTTTTTTATTGCAAAATTATTATCTTGTAATAAATATATGTGCGTGTGTGTGTGTGTGCATATGTGTGTGTGAAGGTCAATAATATATATATATATATATATATATATATATATATATATATATATATATATATATATATTTATATAAATATATATATATATATATATATATATATATAAATATATATATATATATATATATATATATATATATATATATATAAATATATATATATATATAAATATATATATATATATTTATATATATATATATATATATATATATATATATATAAATATATATATATATATATATATACATATATACATATATATATATATATATATATATATATATATATATATATATATATATATATATATACTTATACATACATACATATATACATATATATATATATATATATATATATATATATATATATATATATATATATATATATATATATATATATATATATATATATATATATATATATATATATATATATATATATATTATTGATGTTATTATGTGTCAAGTAGGAGTACCTTTTTCGTAAATTAAAATCTTATAACAGTTAGAAACAATAATAATGACGTATTTATTTCTTAAACGAATATTTTTAATAAAATAAATAGACCTTAAAACTTATATTTTATAAATGAAATCTTCTCAAAGTATTTTCATTTAAGAGTAAACTTACTATTTTAATCTTGGTACTTGAGTATAGCAATATTTTTCCTATTCTTCTCGTGATGAATCACGAGAAGAATAGAAAAATATTGCTACACTCAAGTATCAAGATTAAAATAGTAAGTTTACTCCTAAATTAAAATACTTTGAGAAGATTTCATCTATAAAATATAAGTTTTATAGTCTATTTATTTTATATGTTTTAAATATGTTTTAAATTAATTACAACCACTTCTTCTCGTAATTCAATTAGTAATGTTGAATAAAAGAATTTTATTACTTTTATTACTTCTTTTCGTGATACTATCTGTTTTAAAATAAAATACCAACACTTCTTCTCCTGATTCACTCTGTAAATGTTGAATTAAAAATACTTTTCCTACTTCTTCTCTTTTCATAAACAAAAATTTTTATTTTGAACTCTTATTTGTTTTTGTAAAAAAATTAATAACATAAGAATGCCTGTTTACGTAAAAAGATGCTATTATTTACATTTAAACACATTTAACAAAACTAAAGGACATTATAAATATCCCTTAATGTTACGCATGCGTACCAATATGTAAAATTTAATATAAAGCCAATATTGGCAAACAATATTTTGCCTATATTGGCATAACAATATCAGTAAAACGATAATGGATAATATTGGCGCAATATTGTTTGCCAATATTGGTAAGACAATATTGGCGTAATATTGCTTGACAATATTGGCAAAATATCGAATATCTTGATTAGCCAAGATACCCAATGTTGTGCCAATATTACGCCAACATTGTTTGCTACTAGGGAAGTTAAGAGTACCATTAGATTTTGTCATTTTGAAGCTGAAAGATGAAACTATTGGATCGTTATGTAATAGAAGATAATGATACTAGTTTTCCATTGCATTTTTTCTCAAAATTTCACAAGTATGGTCTAGTCTTGCATTTCTAATGTCTTTATTTTGTGCTTCCTGAGCCTCTTCTGAATATATACCTACTGGGAGTTCAAAACATTTGAAAACCATGCTCTAGTAGCTTGTGTAAAGTAGGTGGCATTATGTACCAGTTATATTTTACCAGTTTATGTACCAGTTATATTTTTCAACCATTATTTCAGAAGTATCTAAACAATATTTTTTAAAGGCTTCCAAATTAATTTCATTTTATAGCCTAAGTGTAACACATACTCAAAAAGTCTAATCCAAAAATGTAAAGTAGATATTCCCATAGTAAGACATTTTTCATCAGGAATAAACATCCTGATTTTTAATAAATTGTTTATTTCATTTGGTTTTGCAAAACAAACATTACACGATTGCGATGAATTCAAAAGCATGATAGCATTTACAGACTTGCCATCAAGCATAGTTAAGTCAACTACAATTTTTATTTCTATCAAACGGTACTTTTTATTACAGAAATCTAAATTTAAAATATAGTCTTGTAGATTTTCAGTTTGTTTTCTAAGCTTAGTTTTTTCTTCTGCAATAAGTTCAATTACTTCTTTTTGGTATTTTAATTGAAGAGGTCTACAGAAATGAGGACTGGATGGCTTTGGATTATTCTATATGTTTGTATCCCCAATTTTTAATTTTAAAGGAACTATTGCAGTTTAAAATACAGACTGTTCATTTTGCACCCCAGTAGAAAAACCAGCATAGTTAAATCTTTGATTATAAATACTTTGCAAAGATGACCCGTCCATACCACATTTCAAATTAAATACCCCATGGGTTATAGTTTCATTTAAATTCTGAAGCAGCTCAGAATTTATTTTTAGAATTCGAGACAAAGTATAGTTAACCATGTTCTGTAAACTACAATTTGCAGACATTTCTGTAATAAGAAAATCCTCTGGATAACAATCTGCTTTTGATTTAAGGATTGTTTTTAATGGAGGATAAACGTTGGCATTTTGCACTAGAGATGAGTTTCTAATCATCTGATATTGTAAATCACTCATATCACAATGAATTTTAAGCGATCTGGAGACATCATAATTGGTTGATGTTTATCACTTTGGTTTGTTTCATTTTTACTTTCAGAAAGTAGTTTAATTTTCTTTCCCAAATTAGATTTTCCAGGACTAGATTTTGCACGTAAAATAGCAGCTTTTGATAATTCTTCAGTTGTATGGACTTAAGCTAAACTAAACTAATACAATCATTATTAGATAAATTTTTATAAATTTTTCATAATATGATAATGACAAGGTTATCCAAAGCATAACAAAAATAATAAATACTTCTAAACTAGAAAATACCTTGAAACTTTCCTTCTTTTTGTTCTTAATGAATACTCTGCCCATTTTTTTCTGGTCTTCCTTCTTTTAAAGTTGATTAAAGATTAGTATCTTTATTATGAAACAAATCACCCTCTAACCAGTGTTCTTCTTGTAATTAGTCTTTCAAAATTACGACTATGTTTTGCATACTTAATTCTAAATTTTTGAATAAAAAGTCTAATTATTTTGGAGAGTTCTACATAACTGATGTCATGAGACAGTTTGTTATTGGTGAGCTTTTTTTCCACCTCAGCTTTTAAAATGGCTTGAAAGTTCGCATTATTTGTACCAACTTCTTCAATTATGTTTAAAAGTTCT